AAAAAAAAAAAAAAAAAAAAAAAAAAAAAAACAACTCTCTCGGCCTTTTGGCTAAAAATAGATCGTGTAGTATCTGTTCTGAATCTTCTGATCAGTTTAGTATCTGATCCGTGGTCCATCAGGCCAAAAAAAATAAAACACCACCCCACCCACCAAAAAAAGCAATCAATCATTATACAACCCGGGAAACGGGCCCCATGTCCCCTTGACAGAATGAATGTTATCGTCTCCGCACTTGGCGAGGGCATCGTCGGCCCCCACTCCAAGCAGTGGACACCCCTCTGAGAATGCAACACGGCAAAAACTGGGGGAGAGGTCATAATAAGACTGATATTAGAGCCTATCCCATCCTATCCCAAGCAACTAAGCACTTGCAATGGAAGGAGGGAGGGGGGGATGAAACAAACAGCAATGCCAATGTACATCAGACCCTTGTACAATTCCTTGTTGCCCAAGTCTATGAACTAATAACAGAGGACCCTTTGCGCAGGGGTCTGATGTACCTTGGCGTCGGTGTCGGCGTCGGCGTCGGCGTCGCTGCAAACAGGCCGTTTTCCTTTTGCAAGCCTAAGCTGCAAGCAGAAACGAAAGCAAAACCCCAAAACCCCAAAACCCCACCCAAGTCCGACACGCTTCGATCCGACCTACGAAGAGAAATTCATTGATTGTAGTCATGCTTTTGAGCCTGGTAGAGGCTCCGCGCCGCAGCTATGACTCCGATCTACGGTGAGCCTGCAAGGGTCTGATGTACTTTGGCGTTGCCGCAGCCTGCATGCATGCAGGAATCATGAAACACCGAATGTGGACCGCCATTGAAGGCTGCATAACTGACTGTTATGTCTGTTTTGATTCGACGAGCATTTCTTCAAAGGAAGAAGGAAGATTAAAGACTTGAGAAGCAGGTCACATCTTATATCGGAGAAACGAGATGAAAGATGCGCCGCCATCATTTTTGTTTGTTGTCTTTTGTGCATTTGGTGAGCAGTGAGGCGAGGGCCATGCTCTCCCAGCAAGGTCACTCACTCCAAATGTACGAAATGAGAACGAATCTTCCACGAGAACACGGAAAGATGCACCGCCATCACTTTTGTTGTCTTTTGTGCATTTGGTGAGCAGTGCGGCGAGGCCCATGCTCTCCCACTCAGCAAGGTCACTCCCGCATACACTGGGAGGAACCCGGCCTCAAGTGTCTTTTGGAAATATATGCCAAATTCTGTGGGGGGGAAAAAGAAAAATTGTTCCCAAGTTACCATCTTTTTTTTTTGTTTTGCCCTTGCTCATCATCTTTTCTTTTTCTTTTTTTTTCCCAAAACATTTTGGACCATTTCTCGATTTATGCATGTCATCCTTGAAAGCGCAGGGGCCATGCTAATCTTCTCTTCTCTGTATCGTTCCAATTTTAACGGATGTCCCGAAGGACAGCTCATCATCTTTTCTAGGAGTTTTATTATGGAAATCTGTTTCTCAACTGACTTTTTTTAAATAAAAGGAAGGAAATCTATTTCTTCAACTTATTATTATTATTTTTTTTTAATGCATTTTTGTTTGGGTGCAATTGTGATTTCTGCTTGCGAGCACAGATGGCAGGACCCGTTGGTGATGGAACCTGTTGATGGCCATGAAGGCGTGTTCTCGATTGTGATCGATGTCCCTCCCGGATATGTCCAGGTGCAATGAACAAATCCCACTTTCATTCATTTTGTCTTCTGCCCTCTTCCGTTCTAAACGACGACTCTGCTCGGTCTCCGCGCACCAGCCATCTCGCTGCGCATTGCGTGCTCCAAATTTCTATTCTGAATTCGCTACCCAATAACTTCGCCTCTGGGCCATAAGATAGATTCGCTGGGCAGTCCAGCTCTCTGGGGAAGAAGAAGGCGGACTTGGCCGCCCACCTTGGCTATGGTGGAGTGGGCCAAGGAGGAAGGCTCTGGGGTATAGGAGGAGGAGGAGGAGGAGGAGGAGGAATAAGTTGAGCAAGGAGGAGAGGGGCAGGGGTGCTTACCCTGGTATGGTGGTTTCTTCCTCTTCTTGGTTGTTGCTCCAATTGGGAGGCCCCAGTGGGGGTGGGCTGCTTCAAGGGGCAGTAGTAGAGGGGGCAATAGAAGCACACTCCCTCTACTTCACAGATAGCCATGGGGGGAGGGGGGGGGGGGGGAGCGCAATAGCAGCGGACCCACATAGTTTAGGGGACGTATCAGCTTTGTGTTGTCGTTTGGACATCAGGGCAAGGCCCCGCTTGTCCGCCATAGCCACCTACTACTACCGTCTTCATACGAATAGAACGCCCGGCAATGCTTGCCGTATCTGGACTGAAAGGTGCACCAGATACAGCTATAATGACCGGGAGTTCCGCCACAGCGAACTACTAGTACTGTCTTCACTTGAATAGAACGGCCGGTAAGTCTTGCCGTATCTGGACTGAAAAGTGTACCAGATACGGCCAAAATGACCGGGCGTTCCGCCATAGCCACCTACTACTACTGGCTTCACCCGAATAGAATGGCCAGTAAGTCTTGCCATATCTGGACTGAAAGTTGCACTAGATACAGCTTTAATTACTGGGCGTTCCGCCATAGCCACCACCTACAACTTTCTGTCTTCACCCGAATAGAACGCCCGGTGATTCTTGCCGTATCTGGACTGCAAGTTGCACCAGATACAGCTATAATGATCGGGCGTTCTATTCGGGTGAAGGTGGTAGGAAGAAGGTGTAGGTCTTGGCTATGGTGGACCTGAGGTATTGCTGGCAGTGATGAGGGGACTCCGATTCTGGTTCTGGTTCATTCTTTCATTGTTATTATTAGTATTTGTTGTATTTCAGAGGTTGGGAGAGATACGGATACGGAAAAGTTGAAGGTGATGGGGAGTTGAAGTGGCATTTGACATTGGTGGGTCTTTTTTTACTGGTGTACTTCTTCTTCTTCTTCTTCTTCTTCCAGTTTTTATCCTCGTGCTTCTGAGTTCCTTGGTCTATTTCTCTGTCAGAGGTCTTTCATTTCATTCAGTGGCAATTGAACGGCATTGTCTTTCTTTGTGGTATTGCAGTGCAAGATAGCCGCCAGGATCATAACATTAATTAATAATTAATTCATTTGATCTCATTTTTTCTTATCAATTATAATGAATCAATTCTTTGCGGAATGGTTCTGAGGTTGGTTCTTTGTTCTGGTTCTACTTTCGGTCGAGTTCGTCCGTGGTTGCGGGACCTGTTCCGATTCTGGACTTCGGTCCCGGTTTGATGCCAATGCTACTTCTGATGCTGATCGATCTGTATTTGGAGTGTCTATGGATTGTGGTGTGGTTTTGTTTCCCTATTATTATTATTATTATTTTTAATTTGACCATTTCCTAGGCTACCAGGCGGGCCGCCCAGGTCAACCTGTTTGCCCGGGCGGCCCGGGGCCGTGCAAGGACCAAAGAAGGTCCCAGCAAAAAAAAGAAGAAAAAAATCCACAAAGTCTGAAAATAAATTATGTTATGCAGAAAAATAAACTGAGCAATTTTTGCCTCAGGGTTACATGAAAATTCTTTATCAAATTTGAAACAAATTAAAAAAGTAATAAAAAACATTAAAAAAAAATGATCTTTTTTTTTTGCCGGCCGGGCAAGTGGTCCCGGGCCACTGTGTAGCCTAGACCATTTCTCTATTTCTGTGTGTCATCCTTGAACATGGGCCTCGCTATTTCTGTGTGTTCTTATTTTACATCACATATATTTTTTTCAGATTTTTTGGAGAACTTTTTTTTTGTTTTTGTTTTTATTTTTATGTTCGTGTTCGGAGAGTTTCGGCGCTCGTTCGCGTTCGGTCCCGAATGTTCGGTCACCGAACCTGAGCACGATGCTACACAGGTTCTCTGTATCGTTCCAATTTTGTTTATTTGATGTCGCAAAGGACGTGATGTGGTTTTGTTCCCTGATGTCGTACGCTGTTTCCAATGCTGATTTGCATTTGGAGTTCTGGATGGATTGTTCCGATTGTGGGTTCTGGTTCTCGCTCTCTCCCTTTTTTTTTTTTTTTTTTAAGCTTCATTACTCACTCAATTTCACCTCACACTGTCTACCTACATACCTCATGCTGCCTGTCTGAGAAGGGAAATCCATGTCAAAGCGTCGGAGGAGCAGCCCTTTCGAACATAGAAGCTAACCCCANGGGGAGGGGTTCTGGTTCTGGTCTGACGCCAGTGCTATTTCTGTCGCTGATCGATCTGTATTTGGGAGTGTCGATGGATTGTGGTGTGGTTTTGTTTCCTGGTGTTGTAATGCATTTGGATTTGGGGTCTGGACGGATTGTGCTAATGTGAGTCGTGAATGAAGTTAAAAAAAAAAAAAAAAGTACTGGCAGTGAATTAATGCTTCCTTTCCTGATTTTTTTTTTTTTTTTTTTAAATAATAATTGCCCATTATAATACTGAAATCGTCATCGGCTCCTTTTCTGATGTTGTAAAACACACATTGACAGTACAAATTCATCGTGGACGACGAGTGGCGACACGATGACGATCAGCAACTTATGCCGGATCCGCTTGGGCATCTCAACAACTGGAAGTTTGTTAAAGAGGATCTTTCGGAGGAGGTTCTGCTGCCTCTTCCGGTCCCTCCAGCGAGTCATCAACAGCTAATGGAGATTGACAGCAGGAACAACAGTCCCGCAATGCCTGGGATGGGCCATATCCCGGCCCATCAACCGGATCTGAAGAGCAGTCGGATGCAAATCGCAGACTTCTTAGCCAAGCACACAGCGTACGAGCTGCTTCCAGAGAGTAGCAAGGTAACACCTGCAGAATTTTTTTTTTTGTTTTTTAATTTTATTTTACACCTGCAGGAGTCCTTGCTCTAGTAATTTCTCCTCCCCCCCCCCCCCCCCCCCCTTAAACCACCATTACATGGCCCAAGCCAAGTTGAGAATCCGATTGAGTCTCTCCTAGAATTTTGGAGGCTTGCGCGCCGTTGATAAAATACATTCAGGGCGGGCGGCCTCCAAAAGGGCCGCGCAGCCAATGGCTGGCATGCACTGGTCCTTAAAACCACCAGTACTTCCGAAAATTGCTCCTTGTTAATGGGCACAACTTTTGGGATGAACGGGCCTGGGCCAGTAGCCCCGATCCAGCCAAGTGGAAATGGCGCGGTTTCCACTTTTGGCTGGCTGTTAACGCGGAGCAGTTTTCGGAAAATGGCGCAGTTTCCACTTTTGGCTGGCCGTTAACGCGGAGCAATTTTCGGAAGTACTGGTGGTTTACGGAGTATTTACTTGTGGAGTCATCCTAGCGAGCAAAGCCGGTGAGTAAATGTGAAGGTAGTGTTATGGAATGGACCACGGGATGAACCATACTGTGTTCAGCCGAATAGAACCCCCCGTCTTTGTGGTTTTTTTTTTTTTTTTTGTTGGGGGGGGGGGGGGGTCGTCTGACTGCATCTAGATTCGAACCGAAGGCTTGGTCATTGTCGTTGTGTCTAGACTGAAAGTTGCCCCAAATACAGCTATAATGACCAGGCGCTCTATTCGGGTGACGTCGATAGTAAAGTTTCTGGATCTAATCCTAATAGGAACATGTTAGGATTAGGATTAGGTCCGTAAACTTTACCACCGACTAAATAACGCGGACCCTCAGTGTGACTCTTATGCAGCAGGCCAATGGGCTGCCGTCTTCACCTGAACATAAAGCATGGTCATAGTTGCCCCAAATACAGTTACGACGACCGTGCATTGGATTTAGGGTAAGACAGTAGTCTGCAGGTGCTCGGATTGCCCACGGTCTGCAGTCCCCTCCGCAGTTCTCAGGGCACATGGAACTGGGCCTTGCCTGCCTACTGTCTTCCCCCGAACACAATGCACGCTGAAAATGAGCGGATACAAGGTATCTCTCCGTCCCAATACAGTCAAAATGAGGGTGTGTTGCAGTCGGGGGATGACGGCATGTGGCCAGGAGCTTGCCCGCCTGCCGTCTTGCCCTGAACATAACACACCCTGAAAATGAACGGATACAAGGTATGTTTGAGGCCCGGTACAGTCAAGAAAATGAGGGTGTGTTGTATTTGGGGGGAGGCGGTAGGCCTCATGCTTTTCTCCGAAATTTCTGTGCCTCCATGTTGCCGATACATAATTTATTTCTGATAATCTGCCTGGATGGAGAGACACTTCAAATAGGATGGACCTGTGGTGAATGCTCTTCACTTTCTCTGTCTGTCTCTCTCTGTCGTTTGCTCCCTTGCTCTCCTCTCCCGTCTGTTCATTCCTCTCTCCTCCGCTCTCGAAACCTTTGGACCTCCCTCTGGCTGAGTCTTGCCAGCTCCTTTGGCTGTTGTATATTAGCCTCTCCGTTTGCGCTTTTGGGTATCCTAGTTCTGATCCTCGATACCATCTTTGGTTTTGACTCTGGGAGGAATGCGCGTTGAACACATTGACCAGGTGCCAGACATTGAATGTCCGTCCGTCTCATCCACTTGCGGAATTTGTCTGCTTGTGCGCAGGTGGTTGCCCTTGACGTTACTTTACCAGTTAAGCAAGCTTTTCATGCATTACATGATCAGGTATGGAAAGAAACAGGTTACACACGAACAGGGGGGGAGAGAGAGAGAGAGATTGAGAGAGAGAGAGAGAGATGAAACAGGTTATACACGAAATGTGTGTGTGTGTGTGTGTGTGTGTGTGTGTGTGTGTGTGTGTGTGTGTGAGAGAGAGAGAGAGAGAGAG